CAGCTTGTCACACTAGAAGACCTTCAAGATCCCTTCCAGACCCATAATTCTGGGATTGGCTCTTTCCCATGCCCATCCTGTTCTGAGCCGTCTTCCTTTGGTAGATAAACAAAGCTCTGGCTCAAGAAAGCAGCCGGCAGGCTAGAAATATTAAATATCATCCGTTGAGGATCCAGAGTTGTGGGGGAGTGTGGGTTTATGGACATGTCCGTGTTGCCACTGTGGTAGCAGCCTTTGAGCCTCTTTCAGAAGGATACCACTGCCCTGATTTGTCCAGGGATGCCACTGATTTCCATAGAGTCGTCTTCTTCAGATGCTCTGAACGTAGTTTGCAATGTTTGGGAAGAAGAACACCGTTGCAAACGGACGTGAAGTCTGGAGCATTGATTGATCGTTTCCCTTTTTATCCATAAAGCAGCTGTGCTCCTCCTTGGCTGCTTCTGGCCTCTCAGAGATCAATAGAGTCTTATTAATTCAGCTTTCCCTGCATTAAGACGCCTGGCAACAGCTGGTCTCAAGGAGCTCGGATCCTTGACAGAGACGTCTGTTTCCTGACAAGAACTTTCTGAGATAAGCTGACATCACTGCTCTGTTGCAGATGGAAGTTTGACAGGGGGAATAGATTTGCATTTCTAAGTCCTCCTGCGGGGCCCAACATCAGCTCCAGCCTGAGCAAAATTGACTCTCTTCAGTCAGTCATAAATTGAGCGGCCGAAGGAGCGGCAGTTTTTTGGCAACCGAAGCAGGACCTCTACAGTGAGGTCTCCTCGGGCGCCCTTGAAATCTCCTTCCCTGGGATGCCAGCAGCATCTGCACGGAGGCCACGGAGGCCACGATGCTCTCTGCCCAACGGCAATTAAACAGACTCCACGTTGATAGGAATGGAATCACATGGTGGTTGCAGACCGTTGTTTTGTTTAAAACTGTTCCCACCCCCCCCCAACCTCTGAAGGAGGAGGGAAATGGGGAGGGGGCATTATTGTGAGAATCTAGCGTGGTGTTTTGTGACTCATTGGCTCAGAAGGATGGCTTGTGCTGGCCAGCCTGGCCTCAAGCTGACCAGCCCACCTCTTTCTCCTAATTCTCCATACTTCTCGCTTTGTCCTCTGATGTTTAGCTACCCTAAGATATGCCAGGCTGCCTTTTTCTATCAACCCACCTGAGCCTATTCCTGTTGGCCCTCATCCAGCCACCCAGGTTTGTGGCTGGAGGGAAGAGATCTGGGATGGGAGGGTAATAATGCCTGTTTAGGGGGGTCTGGAAATTCATAAAAGAGCCAAGGTGGCGCAGTGGTTAGAGTGCAGTACTGCAGGCCACTTCAGCTGACTGCTAGTTCAGCGGTTCAGCGGTTCAAATCTCACCGGCTCAGGGTTGACTCAGCCTTCCATCCTTCCGAGGTGGGTGAAATGAGGACCCGGATTGTTGTTGGGGGCAATATGCTGACTCTGTAAACCGCTTAGAGAGGGCTGAAAGCCCTATGAAGCGGTATATAAGTCTAACTGCTATTGCTATTAACTATTGCTATTGCTATAAAAGACCAGGCCAGGCTTTGAACTCTGCCCCCTTGGTGTGGCCTGGAAGCTTCTCGGCCTCTGGGGCAGTGCAAGGGGCTGACTCATCAGAGGGAAGGAAGCCTCCGGATGAACTCTCCATCCAAACCCAATGAAACCCAGTGGGGGGGCTTGGGGTTTGAGAAGGGCCTTCTTTTGATGACGAAGTTGGATTGCGCCAGAATTCCAGATGTTTAGAGGTCACTTTTGGATGAACTTCAGTTTAATGGGATGAGATGGCTTTGATTTGGATCGGGTTCAGTGGTTGGAGAAGGAGAGATTTCACAGCTTTCCCTTTTGGGGCGGTTCGACTGCACTGGTCCTGTCCAATTTGGGGGGAAAGGAAGAGAGGGGCTGCAAAATGTTGATTGACATCCCTTTGCTTGCCTGGGCTCCCCCCCCCCCCCCGGCCATGAGCTCCTGAGCTGCTGCAGAGGAAGGGCCGGACGCCCTCCAGGTGTGACAGGCAGATTTCTACTCCAAGGTTCCAGTTTCCCAGTGCAGGGGACTCCAAACTGGGCGCCTTTTGTGGACTTCAACTCCCAGAATTCAGCCAGTGCATGCTGGCTGGGGAGTTGCCCAGTTTGGAGACCCCAGAATCTAGTGAGAGCAGAACCCCACACAGTCTGGAACTGCCACCCCTCCCTTTTCACTCGACAGCAAAAGCCCTTCCTTGCCCCAAAGGTTTGGGATTGAGAGTTCTGTACGATATTCTTTGCCCTTTTTCGCAGGACGTGTTCCAAGAGCTCAGAAATTAGAGTTGCAACTTTTCTTTCTGCCCAGTTTAGTCTTTGACATTAAAAAAAAAAAAGCCAGATGTAAAGTGTGGAAATATTTGGGAGAAGTTGCAAGAAGCAGAATAAGTGGTAAAGGGCGCATGACAGGGTCTGGATGAGCCTTTTTTTAAAGTTTTTGCTAATGGGAAGCTTCTGGGGACTGGAGAGTTATCATTTGCTGGCGGCCTGCGCAACGGTGTCCCCTATTTAGCGCTTGGGAAGGTGGTGCACCTTTGCCAGCGCATGGGGAGATGCCAGCAGTCAGCAGGCATGGTCCTCCCTCCTGAACACGTGGGGCATTCCTGCCCTCCATCCCTGGGTCTCCCTCGCCCATCAGCTGCAGCCTCTTGGAGAACAGCATGATGTAAATGCCTAAAATTTTCCAAACCCCTGCTGGGTGTTAGGGGGGAGTGTATCCCTTTCTCTGCGGGAAGGGCCCCCCTCTGCAGAGACCCCATCTCACACCTCTTCTGTCTGGGTGGGAGGGAGGCTTTGCTAAGCCCCCGGAGCTGCTTGTGCCTCCCCTCTCTTGGGGGGGCTGCCTCTGGGACCAGGCGTGGTGGCTGCCCATCCTGGGATCGGCCGCTGGAAAGAATGAAGCCAGATCTCTCGGAGAGCCAGCGAAGGGCAGCCTTGACAGTAATCAACTCCAGCTTTTGGAGAGCTGCTTAAGGAATAGGCTGAGTCATATCCTAAAGGGGGAGGGGCGCTTCTGGCTCTCTCTCTCTCTCTCACAGGATGGGAAGGTTGAGCTGGCTTTTGGACTCGACTTCCAAGGGGTTGGGTCCTGCCGGGGGCTGGAGGAGGCTTCTGGGCCCTGGTGCTGTTGGGCCAAGGGTTGTTTGGGGGTGAAGCTGAGCAGAGATGGCCAAACTTTCTCTAAACATGTGCCAGAATTGTGTGTGTGTGTGCGTATGCGATAGCTCATGCTGCCTGCACCACACCCACAATGCAATGTGCCCTGCCCACCTGCGCATGTGCACGCGACCCCCTCTGCATGCATTCATGACACACACACACCCCATGTGGGGTGGGAGGGAGTTTTCGCCCTCCCCAGGCTTCAGGAAAGCCTCGGGAGCCCAAGGAGGGTGAAAAACAGGCCCTTTCCCAGGCTCCGGAGGCTTTCCTGAAGCCTGGGGGGAATGAAAATGGCCTCTCCCGGCCCTCCAGAAGGCCAGCTGGAGCTGATGGCTTTCTTTCCGGCAGATATGGTTATGAGTGCCACCCGTGGGATGCCTGCCATAGGTCCATCGTCATGGAGTTAGAGCATAAGATGCTTCTCCTAGACCAGTGATGCCAACCTTTTTCTTACGACATGCCAAATTGCGCACGCGTCCTCTATCGCACACACACACCCGTGTGCCCTCGCACTCTTCCTGCCCATCTCAGTTGGCTGGGGAGGGTGAAAGACGCCTCCCCTGAGCCAACCGGAAGTTCGGAAAGGATCTGTTTCCAGATTCTGGAGGGCCTCTGTGGGTGGGGGAGACGATTTTTTTGCCCTCCCCAGCCTCCCTCCAGAGGTTTTCCTGAATCCTGGGGAGGGCGACAATGTGAAAAGCCAGGTGGCCAGCAGGCACATGTGCAGCAGAGCTGGCGGCTGGCTCTGCGAACCACCTGTGGCACCCGTGTTCACCGTCAAAGTCCTAGACCTTCCCCCCTCCTCTCCCACCACAGTTGAGGTAGAGGAGGAGGAGGAGGGGGAGATACCTGCATGAAGCCAATGGAGGAAGCCCCCAGCCTGCTTGGAGAGCTTTCAGTGACTGGTTGGGGCTTCACGTGAATCCTAAAGGAAGACTGGAAGCAAACCGACCCATAAGATTCCAACTAATTGTAATCTGGGCCGGCTCGTCTACCGCTTGGCATGGAGTTTGACATTTTAGAGGGAGAGAGTGGACGATGCCAGGGCTCTATCCACACCATAGCATCAAGCGCGATTATGGCAGCTCAGTGGCGGAACATTGGCTTCCCCTGCAAAAGATCCCAAATTACTGGGATGGGTTTTGAGATCAAAATGCGCTGAGTAGCAGAGGAGGAAGAAAAAAGGCCTGGAAGCTTTCCGCTCGGCTGCTGCCAGCCAGAGTAGGCATCACTGGAGTGTGAAATGGGGGAATGATAGCAGGGGGGGGGGGGAAGCTTCAGAGGCAGGAGAAGGTCTTGCAGTGGTGATTTTCGTCTCCATGCTCATCCCGTGTTTTCCTTTGCTTCTTTTGAAGGTGAGATAAAAGCCCCCCCCCCCGGGGGCACCCAGCACCATGGTTGCCTTGTCGCTGAAAATCTGTGTCCGCCAATGCAACGTGGTGAAGACGATGCAGTTCGAACCCTCCACCGCCGTCTACGATGCCTGCCGGGCCATCCGCGAGAGGGTCCCCGAGGCTCAGACAGGGCAAGGTCAGTCCCACGCTGGCTCCCTTAAAGCACGGCTTGCACCGCAGTGCTGTAACAAGGAGGGATGGGTGAAAATTGCCCTCCTCCGTCTGTGGGGTTAGGCAGGAGATGGCAACCAGTGGGCCCCTGAACTGGCAAGTGAGTCTGGAGAGGCTCCGGTTGCGGGTGAGTTGTTAAGATGAAAGAAACGGACGAAGCAACCAGAGGCAGCTTCTCATGGCCGAGAGAGAGACAGACAGACAGAGACAGAGAGACACAGACAGACAGAGACAGAGAGACAGAGAGAGACAGAGAGACAGAGAGACAGAGAGAGAGACAGACAGAGAGAGAGAGAGACAGACAGACAGACACAGAGAGAGAGAGACAGACAGAGACAGACAGAGACAGACAGAGACAGACAGAGACAGACAGACAGACAGAGACAGAGAGAGAGACAGACAGACAGAGACAGACAGACAGAGACAGAGAGAGAGACAGACAGAGACAGAGAGAGAGAGACAGAGAGAGAGACAGACAGACAGAGACAGAGAGAGAGACAGACAGACAGAGACAGAGAGACAGAGAGAGAGAGAGACAGACAGAGACAGAGAGAGAGAGACAGAGAGAGAGACAGACAGACAGAGACAGAGAGAGAGACAGACAGACAGAGAGAGAGAGACAGAGAGAGAGAGAGACAGACAGAGACAGAGAGAGAGAGA